CCGACAATCCATCAAGCGGTGCAGCTTCGTAGCTTGCCGAAGTTGTACTAAAACATTTTTTGACAGATTTTTTAGCGCCGTGTTCCACATAAAATCAGTTTGAGGTCAGTAAGCACAACCAGAATTAATACATAAGGCGCACTGTCGAATTTGGAGAAAATTAAAGGATTTTAAGTGCACCTTTAGTACGGACAACACGGTAAGTGCAATGAGGAGGGAAAGAAGCCATATATGTCCACTGTGAGCGACCATCTTTAAACAGAGGCGGTGGTTTACGACACCAACTGTCTGCCATCTATAATCCAGTTTTGAGATCCCTTCCCAGACGCTTTAACGCCCACTCACATCCTGGGCCATCTGACCTCAGGAAATCACATGATAGGGTGGGGCCAGGTTTCACAATGAGTTCACCCGAAACCCTGGCTGATTGTGACCCACACCCGTTTTCATACCTCGGCTCATGTGATTAGGTAGAGGATCATCAGGGGGTCCTTTGTCCCTCTTTGGGGGGAAACTCCCACTGGGTTTAAATCTGGGACTCCCCACCATTTGACCTTAGAACTGAAGAAGCTTCTCGGATGAGAGGTGAAACGTCTTCAAGACACTTAAACAAGTCCAGACGCTTTTCTTTCCAAGCTCCTTAGACTACAATGACCTGGATGACTGAGAACCTTCACAGACATGGTAAGTGCAATGTGACACAGCATAAGAAAACCACACAAAAGTTCAAAATTTTTGTTTTTACTTTGTGTTTCCTTAAACTTTCAAAAGTTCGAGATGAACATATAAACACACGTGCAATCAATCTGTAGTTTGATTGTTTTTTTCAACTTGATGTCAGACTGTCCTCTCTTTGAATTACTGTTGTTAGTAACAATGTATATAGATAAACAGAGACTTGTAGCATGCATGTGAATAACATCTCATGTGAAAAAACTCCACTGGGTTATCAAGAAACTGTTGATCGATCACAATCCACACGGCATTATCACCAAAGGCCAAAGATGGAAAATTCACTGGCATCACTAAGGGAGCAAATTTCACTGGTTGACTACCTACACGGAGACTATTTTCACACCTCATTTGCCATTTCTAGTATAGATTATTATAAATCGCCCACACATAAAGGCTCACAGAAACACATCCATACTTATCTGCACACACACACACACACACACACACAGACAGAGTGGTCAGATGTGGCTGTACTGTGGACAGACGGACAGATTCAGAGATGGGTAGATGGGGAAAAAGATGCTACACTCCAAAATATAAAAACTGAAGAGGGGGGGAAATGAGGAGAGAGAAAAACAAAAAGTGGCACTGTAGAGATATTTTTACGTGAAGCTACTCAAAAACGAAGCACTGATAGCACAATGCAATCAACTAAAATGTCAGGGAGAAGTGGCCCGTGAGAGCAGATTGGGCCTTTAACTGCTCCAATCAGCAAATGGTTCTACGGGGCTGTCTACATCTGTCAAGAAAAACAGGCTGCACATAGGAAGAAATTGTGTGCTCTTGTGTGACAGAAGGAGACAGTGCAGACGCGTTGATCTGTGAGTATTTGTGAGAGAGGGTGATCTTTAAAGGGGTAGTGGAGAAGTTACTTGGCCTTTTCAGCTTCAATCACATCCATTCGGTATGATGCCATTATATAAGTGCTAGCGTTCTTCAAAAGAAGAGACAGCAGGACATCATTCAGCCTTTAAGATGAACGATAAAAATACTCTGGAGACTTGGCCTTCTTCATCGCCACGCCACTGACGTGATTACCATCATCACGACTTCAATTGGAGAAAATAGACAAAAGAGGTTATGGACGAGTAATTAGGAGAAGAAAAAACTAAAAGCAAA